ACAGGGGGCGACGACAACGCTGCAGCGATGGGAAGGTGTTGTGGCACGGCGTCATCGGCGGCCATAGCGGCAGTACTGGGGAGGCGCTGCACGAACGGTGCGGCGTTGTTGGTAGCCATTTTTCTTACGCGCTGGGGAAGTGCTGCCGGATTTGCGGTGCAACGGCACTTGATTTTCTTTTGGCGGGGAAATGTTGTCGGATTTGCGTCACGGCGGCACTTGATTTTCTTTTGGCGGGGAAATGCTGCCGGATTTGCGGCGTGGCGCCACTTGATTTTTCTTTTGGCGGGGAAGTGCTACCGGATTTGCGGTGAGGCAACACTTGATTTTTCTTTTGGCGGGGAACTGCTACCGGATTTGCGGCGTGGCGACACTTGATTTTCTTTTGGCGGGAAAGTGCTGCCGCATTTGCGGCGCGGCGACGCTTGATTTTCTTTTGGTGAGGAAGTGCTGCCGGATTGTTGGCGTGACAATACTTGTTTTTTTTTGTGTGGAAATGATGCTAGACTAGCGACACGACAATAGGGATTTGCGGCACGATAGCGGCGGAGTTTTTTTTTTTCTTACGGCACGGTGTTTGTTTTGTTTGATGAGGTTGTGCTACCAGAGTTGGCGTGTGCGGCGGCGGCAACGTGACGTGGTGGTGCACGGCGCACTATGAAATTTGTGCGATGAGCGAATGTTGTTGGCATAGGACCATCAGGGACCACTTGGGGACCGGTTGGGAAAAACGTGGTGCCAGTTGGGACTGTCTTACGGTGCATGAAAACGAAGACCATCGACTCTAGCAGTCGATACGGTGCACGATCAACGATTAACATTGGCTAACAAATAAATTTTAAATTTTTTTATTGGTCGATGGTCGGCTACCTACACAAAAACGAAGACAATCGATACTAGCAGTCCATACGGTGCACAATCAACGATTGACATGTGTCACGGACAGCCGCACGTGATCGAAAACCACAGAGCACAGGCGTAAATCGGGCCTAGTCGATCCCGGTCCAGTGACTGGTTACTTCTGGGTCGTTTGTGAGGAATTCCCGGCCTCAGGGCACACTCACACTGCGGTACCAAATTTGGATAATCCCCAAAATCCCCCCAAAAAAGTGCCAAGGGGTAGTCACACTCACTTCGCATTTTCCCAAACTACTTATTTGTGAACCCTTTTGTCA